ATTGTGTGCTTCCACCTTGTAATGACAGTTTGGGGAAGGTTCTGTTCCAGCATGATTTTGCCCTGCGTACAAAGCCAGCTCCACAAAGACATGGATTGATGAGTTTGATGCTGCGAAACTGTATGACCTGCAAAAAACCCAACCTCAACTCTACTAAATATCTTTTGGAACACCAATTGTGAGCGTGTCTTCTCATTCAACAACGATACTTGACCTAGTTAATGCTCTTGTGGCTGGACGGGCACAAATTCCCATTGACACACTCCAAAATCTTGTGGAAAGCCTTCCTAGAAGAGCGGAGGCTGTTATACCAACAAAGGAGGCCCAAAATCCATGTTAATGTCCATGGTTTTGAAATGGGATGCCCAACAAGCTCCTATAGAAGTGATGGTCAGGTGTCTACAAACTCTTAGCCATATCCCCACCCCCGCGCCAGAACGTGCGCCACCAGCACACACGCATCCCCCCCTCAGGAGGCTGAAAAGTGATGTTTGTGCCATGTTCTTCTATGGCATTACTGGATAGGAAATCAGCTTTGTGTAGCAAAAAGTCTTCCTGCCATTGTCACAACCTCTGTATGCTTTTGATATGTTCCTGAAACTTTTATGCGTTTATAAGTGTTATCATAAAATCCCCTTTTGCACAAATTTCGCAATGTGTTGGCGGTCTGTTTACAGACTTTGCGAATTGTTCTTGACTAGGGTTGTTAGTCTCTGTTACAGCTGTCACTCCCTGTATTAGCGGTAGTGTGCGGTGTTCTCCTGTGACTACATTATAAGGTAAAGTGGTTTGACCCCTGACAAAATCACTTGTGAGAGAGCTTTGCGGAGAACATTAAACCATTCACAAAGTGGTTCAGACGAGGCCAGCTTCAAAGACACGTTGCAATTATCGAGGCCCGTCTAGAATGGCTCCTAGTGGGACCTAATTGCCTCTATTGATCTGCAAGTACATTTAAGTTGTACCCATCACTCAGCATGGAAAACTCTCCTGCTTATTGCTGAAAAGCTGAAATGCAATTTATACATGCATACCTTCCATTAGAAATGTCAGCAGTAAAGGTTCCCTTACTTGTGTCATGGATTGCTGAAGAATTATGCAATCAAACAGATAATTATAGAGGCAAGAACTGTGACCCTAAATTACATGTGACCAGTCAGAGCCAATCATTGTGCAGGGCATGCTGTGTACTGGATTGATTCTTCTATCACCACATCTCTCTTCTCTTGCTCACTTGTCTGACTTTATGGGCAAAACCTATAAATATATGTGAGTTCATCATGTCTGATGTTATGAAGTCTGCCATTGCCAACTTCTTTTAAAAATGCTAGTTTCTTGGCTGTCATGATAGGCAGAGCCAGCTGTCACTCACGCAGCTGGGCGGATCCAGGCAGTATTGTCAGGATCTGTCCCGGCTGTGGCGCTCTCAGTATATTGCGTGCAATACCTCGCTATATACTGAGCTTTGGGTCATGGGAGGAGGTTAGTATATGTCCTCCCGTGACCCTAAAGAGAACTATGGGGAAAAACAGTTACCTCATAGTTTTCTTTTAAGGACTCATTATATTGCATGCTTATTTTCTCGCTTGGCTGCAGACTTTGTGCCATATCGAATGTGTTAGCAATAGAATAATGCTGACTTGCTGGTTAGCTGTGGCAGCTGCTGACTTACATGGATCCTTTGTGATTGTGATTTGTATAATTAGGCAGATAATTAATATAATTATGATCATCATTATCATCATTATGATCACACTTAATAAAAACACCATTATCTTCAAATAATACCAAAACCTTACTCTAAGCACATACTAGTGTTTCTGGTGTCAGAGTCCACTGCACACATGGGCTACATTTCCTGTGTAGAGTGTATTCTGGAGCTGCCATATCTGCATAGTCTTAGACTACATGAAGCACACTTATTTTCTGTTTTTATCTCATTTCCTCTAAAATCGCTTTACACTTTAGTGCTCTCTCTGCATCCAGGACTGTGTAGAAGGAAGCCTGATGACATCATTCATCACGTGATCAACATTTGGGGAACTCTGGGCAGTCATATTAGTAGGACATTGATACCGGACCACAATCAGCAACATGTGGGGAGAGGAGCCAGCGTTTGCACACCAGGCCATAGCTTTGTCTATAGCTAGTAATGCTAATGAACAAAATAGATTATACTCTAATAATGATACTTTTGATCATCTCCTTTAGGTATCCTATACACACACATTTTGTACATGCACAGTGCAATGATTGTACTTTGCAAGTCTCATAGATCTGAGATAACTGAAGAGTAAAGCTCGCCATACACTGCTACATTTTAAATGAGCCTTCATACCCAAAATCTCATCATAACCTTTGATAATGTCATCAGAGACTTGTAGAATGTCATTCAAAACCTTGTTTGATTTTTACATTCGATTTTGGATTTCCCAGATAAAAAACCACATTCAGTTAGAATTTAATTTCCTCCAAAAAAATATTTTTTTAATGAAATTCTACTTCTGTTGCGCAGCTTAAAGGGAAATACCACTTTTAAAAAATACACACATATTCATAAAATATAAAATGGGCATTTATAATTTGTTTGCATTGGAGTTAGTAAAGCATTGCAACCGCAATGAGTAGATCATGCGTCCAATGCTCTGGCTCCTGTGGACTCTTCCCCCCAGTCTGCGTCCATTCCGCGGTAAAGACTTTCAGTTATAGGGACGGGAGGAAGAAGGAACCGACTACAAGTGCAGAGACGTCATCACACTTGTATTCCATTCCACAGTGGCAGACGGGACTTGTAGTTCCATTCACAGATCCTTTTTTAAGGATCTGTGAATGGACAATGCCGCTGTGGGTGGCCATTTTTAAAAACTGTCAGGAGCCTGTGGGGAGAAGAACCCCACAATTCAGGTAAGTGGGGTGGGGGACTGGAGATGTGACCATGTTCCATGTTACACCCTACATATGAGTGCAACATGAAACATGGTATTAAAGGTAAACTTCAGCACATAGGCACAAATGATTCCTTACTGGTTACCTCTAAATACCGTTCAGTCTCTGCGTCTTATATAACACCTCGGATCTCATATATGGGGTTCTGTTTCGCAGTATAATTTGCTTTTTTCAGCCCTTTCACTCTTCATTGCGTGATTTGTTCTCTTTTGTTCTGGTAAATATTACATCTAATAAACTCAGGAAAAAAGCTGTTCTGCATCCATTTCTGATAATTACTTCAAGCTTGTCTTTACTTGCTGGCTGCTCAAACATAATTATTCATATGTGTATAGCTGTTTTCTGCTTCTAATTACATCTGCTAAGCTTGAACAATGCTCAGACCATCAGAGACCACAGAACTAGAACTATCAGCTGTGCTGTGCCTTTCCCTGCAAGTTTAGGAGTCATCTGGGCATGCAAGGCGTTGTAGTTCCTCATTTGCCACAATGTTATAGTCTTCCCAGAGCAGAAAGCTTATTGTGCCAGTTTAAAGTATGCTGGGAGCTGGTCGACAGTTATTATTATTATTAATATACAAGATTTATATAGCGCCAATAGTTTGCACATCGCTTTACAATATAGATGGTACATGGTAGCATGTTGCAGACAGCTAGAGACTTTCTGCAAACATTTGGAGCTTTTTTGGGGGCATGCTGGGGAATGTAGTTCCTTTATAGCTGCTGTGCTGAAATTTGTCCTTATCTATTCACACATTTAGAATACCATGACTATCATAGAACTTGTAGTTGTCCAGCAGCTGGAAAGCCGAATAAAACCTATAGCTGTAACGTCTTGCACCAATTTAGAATCTGGTCAGCATGCTGGGGCTTGTAGTTCCGAAGTCATTCTAGGTCCTATATAATACCCATAGATTGAAGCACCAATATGTGTGCTGGGAGCAGGACATTACCATTTCCCAATGTTATGATTCCAGACACTGATTGGAAGATTTTGGGCTTGTGTTGACAGGCTTGCGGCTTGTGTCGATGACATCAGTTTGAGATGCTTCTGACATCATTCAGAATGCATTGACAAGTAAAATTCTTTTGCAGTTGACCTCCTTATGATCTGCATTGGATCTGCTTGGTTTTGCATCCCCATAGACCTGTATGGGAGTGCAAAAAAAACACTCAAAGCAAGCAAAAGCCTGTTGACTCAGTCCTTTATAGAGTCAATTTCAGATCCACTGGGATGAATACATGCAGTTAGAACACACTAACCACAATCCAGTCTCAAGTCGGACTTTCTATATCATTTCATTGATTGCATTAAAATCAGTGTTCAAGCCCAGTTTTAAAGGAATTGAAAGTGGGACAGAAGTTTGTAGGCACTCCTAACCATCTTTCTTCTTTAGCCTTCCATGGTATATCCCATTCACTATATCTATTGTCTAAGGAACCTTAATCCTTGCTGCACAAATTTACTGTGTATTGGATACTCTGCAATTTAGGATTGTACCTAAAACCCTAATTTCGGCGACTGCCTTTAGGCGATCCCTTAAGACTCATCTCTTCAGCGAAGCCTATCCCACCTCAACCTAACCACTGACCAATCACTTTCTCAAACAATCATGCCCGCACAGCTACCTCCTCATGTATCACTTCCCCTCCCCTTTTAGATTGTAAGCCCTCAGGGGCAGGGCCCTCCTTCCCATCTTGTCTTGAATGGTATTGTGATTGTAATGTCTTCCTTATATTGTAAAGCACTGCGCAAACTGTTTGCGCTATATAAATCCTGTATAATAATAATCATAATAATAATAATAATAATTTACCTATGTAAGCATGTCCGGAAACTTTATAAAGGTGTTAAAAAAGGAGGGTAAAACAGGTAACAAATAATGTTCAATCTTAACCCCCCTTAGAGCTCAGTAATATGCTGGGACTTGTAGTTCTCTCACAGCTGTTTGTCATGCTGTAATGTGTGCACCCTCGTCGGTTTACTCTGCAGCACGCCACACTTCTGCTGAGTTAAAGTGAATTAAACCGGCTGTCTGGTCTGCTTTGTTGCAGGAATTCCTTTCGCAGAGTTTCGTGGAAGCAGCTGAGAGTGGAAAACGGTGAATTCATTCTTCATCCACAACAATTCCCAGCGGGGGGACACAGAATGTGGGCGATCGGCTGCTTGCTGACGACAAGTATGATAATCCTGGGAGCGACGGGCACAGATCACTTCTACCGCTCAGGGTAAGCCTCTCTTTGTACTTTTCAGCAACAAAAGGGAAATCTCGTGCTCTGGAAGGGGCGAGCTGGAGGAGAGAGAGGGGGTCCCGGGTCACTCTCCATCCTCTGCTTCACAGCTCACTATATATACCATACATACAAAGTTTATTAGGAATGCCACCAATGGGGACACCCTACCACCCAGCAAAAACGTTAACAACTTTTTCCCTTCTGTAGTTATAGGGAAACAACTGAGACTTTACCCACTTTACTAATATAAATCTGAACAGATACAATACAAACCAATCAGAAATAAGGTAATGCCACTAATGATGGACATGTGTTAAGGTAATTGTGGATTGGATAGAATTAATGAAAGGTTGTCTAAAGGTGCCCATACACCTTACAATTATCTGCAGATTTTCTGTGGTCAGATGGAAAAAGTGCAACAGATTGGCCCAGGTGGAGATTTGTCAAATTGTAGTCACATTGGGTTGATAACCCCACCACACATGCCACAAATCTGGATGATGATTCAAAGTTTTCTGATCATAATTTATGGTGCCAACAACCTATGCAGCGCTTTACATAGTGCGCATTCACATCAGTCCCTGCCCTCAAGGAGCTTACAATCTAATGTACCTAGTTCACATACATACAGGGACAATTTAGACAGGAGCCAATTCACCTTCAAGCATGTCTTTGGAGTGTGGGAGGAAACCCACACAAGGACAGGGGAAACATGCAAACTCCTTGCAGATAGTGTCCCTGACCATTCCTGGCCATTTCTGCCTTCAATGACCCAGAATAAGCTTGCAACAAATCAGATCTTCTGGTCTCCATACTTGCCCCTTGTCAGTAAATTTGGAAATACTGAAGCCAGTGGATGAGTATGACAGCCAAGCAAGTAGCATTGTTTAAGGGGAGGGCAGCAGTGGCATCATTCATGTTTCTCCTATTGCTGTTTTTAGTTAACAGGTAATTACTGACGCTTATGGGAGCCATGAGCTTACACTTCTTACACCTCATTGTGCTGATTGCATAGATCAGGGGTAGGCAACCTCGGCACTTCAGCAGAACTACAAGTCCCATGAGGCATTGCAAGACTCTAACTGCCACAGGCATGACCCCCAGAGGCAGATACATGCTGGGATTTGTAGTTTTGGCTCAGCTGGAGTGCCATACCCCTGGCATAGATCATGCAGGAACAGCACCAGGAAAGCAGTTCAGTCACAGGCTGTGATAATATCATTATATTGCTCCATTACAATCAAATAGCGCCTAGTGGAGTGTGGCTTTAATGAATGCAATTAGCAGGAAGTGCCGTGTAATTGGTGATAAGTATCCGGTTATCAGATCTCCTCTAATTATCAGCGGATAATTGAGGACGACACGTTTAAAAGAATCATTATAATTTCTTTTTTATCTGATCACAAATATAATAATGAATGGGGCAGTCACATCATGTAATCAGGCAAGGCTCCAGTGCGGATAAAGTGTACCTGTGCTTTATTTTCAACTTTGTAAAGAACATTTCCTGCCTAAGAGCCGACTGATTACCTTTTCCTCTTCTGTGCCCCTCTCTGATTAAGTTTTCCCTTGTGGCCTGACTTTGCCTACATTTGATCGCTGCCAGCTGCCCTTGCCCTTTGAGAACACCCCTACTGACCAATGGACAGTGGAATGGCTTAATCAGGAAGTCAGGGTAGGCCAGCCCCATTAGCAAAGTGAAACTGTATCAGAGAGGGGCACAGAAGAGCCTTTTTGGCTAATAAATGGAAGTTTAGGATGGATTACAGGTTCACTTTAAAAAGCAACTGCAAACCAAACCAGGACAACCTGCTAATCCTATCCATGCATGTGGCCACATTGTGGTCATATTGCAACAGCACTTGAGTGCTGTTCGTGTTTTCATGATCATTTCTTTTTTTGCATTAAGTTATATTTTTTCGGACAAACTTTGGGGTGTCTACCCCTTTCTTCTAAGGTCCAATCAGTAGGTTTTACCAAAATGTGAAGAAGCATTTTGATAAAACCTTAGTGCAGGCAGGGGTGGGCAACCTTGGCACTTCAGCTGTTGTGGAACTACAAGTGTAATGAGGCATTGCAAGATTTAGGCATGAGTCCCAGAGGCAGTTGCCTACCCGTGCCTAGTGTGTCAGTGTTGCTTGGATCTTAGAGGAACGGGGTAGACACCCCCAAAAGCTCTCCTTAAAATGTAACTGTTGCATATAATAATGTACTGCGGACACTAAGGACAGCGCTCAACTGTCATTTTGTAGAAATGATAGAAGCTCTCTATCACCTCCAATAATATCGGCAAGGTACGGGGATTTAGATAGCAGGGTAGACAAGTGCAGAAGATGAATGCAGGGATGAAAATGACAGCGGCTCAGCAGACAAGACTTTGTCCCCTGGGTCAGTTTAAGTACAACATTTTTACGTTTGAATGGAGTGTAGCTTTAATTGACCGAACAGCTGTGCCAAGGTGGGGGCACTAAAACCTGCTGCTCTCGCATCTGTTCCCCTTGTTCTGCCACCATCAAACGCTCCTCATCCTCATGTTGTCAGGAGGTATTAACGCATTCCAAGAAAGGCCCTCAGAACTGATTGACGCAGCGCCACTCAGGCATGAGTGCTGTCCGCAGACCCGCAAGACGTCTGTTAGTGCTTACAGATGTTAGGACCATCAAGTGGGAAAGTGGGGTCAATTGTATGTAAAGCCACGGAAAAGAGGCCTTCTGATTGCATGATTTCCCCCCAATATTGGCTTAAAGGACCACTCCAAAGAACTCTAAATAAATACATACATGCATACGTTACCAGGGGTGTCAAACTCAATTTAGTTGTGGGCCGCATCAACATTATGGTTGCCATCAAAGGTATCTGTAAGACTACAGGTGAAACTCGAATAATTAGAATATCGTGCAAAGTTCATTTATTTCACTAATGCAACTTAAAAGGTGAAACTAATACATGAGATAGACTCATTACATGCAAAGCAAGATAATTCAAGCCGTGATTTGTCATAATTGTGATGATTATGGCTTACAGCTCATGAAAACCCCAAGAACCCCAAATCCACAACCTCAAAAAAGTAGATTATTACATGCAATCAATAAAACAAGGATTGTACATAGAACAATATCGGACCTCTGAAAAGTACAAGCATGCATATGTACTCAGTACTTGGTTTGGGCCCCTTTTGCAGAACTTACTGCGATTACTTTTGCACGATATTCTAATTATTCGAGTTTCACCTGTATATAAATGTATCTAATCTTTATCATAATTGCCTCTGCATTGGATTATCACTGGTTTTAGTAATAACTTAATACCTAGATCTGAAAGTCCTAGAAGTCCAGGAAATGGCCTGGTGGGCCGGATTCGGCCCCTGGGCCTTGAGTTTGACACATGTGCTTTACATCAATAAATAAATAATGAAATGTCACAGATGACACAAGAAAATCTTAATGAACAAAATTCAGCATTCATTTAACAATACTTGCCAGTTTTTACCATCAGCCTCCCTGCATCCCACGAGTAATGGCGTCTGAGTACGTCTACTGTGAGAGAGGCAATTGAATTCAACCATTTTAGCACAAACTTAAAACCTTTTCAGGTCTCAAAGGGCCATAAGTAATATAATTTAGTCATAAGTGAATAAGTTGAGTATCCAAAAGACTATGGCGGGAATTTATCAAGACTGGAGCAGACAGAATCTGGGGCAGTTGCCCATAGCAACCAAGCTGATTGATTGCCATGCAAATCTGCACCATTTTGTCTGCTCCAGTTTGATAAATTCCCCCCTATGTGAATGGAAAATGCCCCAAAAAAGTTTAGAATTATATGGCTGCTGCCACTATTCTCCTTCTTCTAGTAATAGAAATTGCTAGTTGCCTGGCTGTCATGCTGATCCTCTGGCTGTAACACTTTGAGCCTCTGACCTGGAGGAAATATACAGATCAGGAGTCATGGTGTCCCTCCCTATGTGCTCGTTCCAAATCAGTGACTCAGATATGTACTGAAGTCAGAGAATCAGCCAGGGAAGCAGCGTGTACAGAAGGTGGACAATGGCAGCCCCAGTATTCCTCTCTCAGCATGGGTTACATTTAAGCTCGATGTACACTTATGGCTCGCGTTGCCATTACCAGTTAATAGCACCCCAAACACGGCCTGGAGTAAGCGTGTTTTTCCTCCACGTTTGCGCATGGAAGAAAAAAACGCGGAACGCATGATGCACATTTTGGTACATGCAGTATTTTTCCGTGTTTGGCACGTGTATAGAAACCCATTGAAATGAATGGGGACGTGCGGCAAGCACGGAGAACAAATGTGGATGAACGAGCACAGAAACGTGACGCAAACATGCTGCCTAGGTGTGAACCCAGCCTTAAAAGAGAACTATGAGGTGAGTGCTTTTCACTCACCTCATAGTTCTAGCCGACCTGTGACAATGAGACTGTCACAGGTCGGCTCAGTAGATCGGGAGGTGAGCGAACACATACCGGCGTTCGCTCACCTCTCGATCCTGTCACGGCTCTCTGCCGTGACAGGGGAGGGGCTGGATTCCCCCCTCCCCGCTCCGATCCGCCAGCGCTGACTGGCGGATCGGACGGGGGAGGGGGCGGGTACAGCTGGCTCTGCCTCTGGATAGGCAGAGCCAGCTGTCAGTCATGCAGCTGGGCGGATCCAGACATAATTGTCAGGATACGCTTCAGCTGCGGCGTCTCAGTATACCGCGAGCAGTAGCTCGCGGTATACTGAGCTTAGGGTATGCTGAGCTTAGGTTATCCTAAGGAGAACTATGGGGAAAAGCCTTAACCCCATAGTTCTCCTTTAAAGTTAAACTTCAGGCACACAGGTAAATACACAGGTACAAATCATATATGGAGGCCGGAGTATTTATAGTTCTGTCTATACAGTCTTGAGATTTATATACCCCTACACGACTTTACATCTCAGTTGGTGATCTGTCTTTTCACTACTGCAGTAAAGGAATAAAGCTTGGCCACTTCCCCACCACCAGCATGATACTGGACAATTAAGGACCAGCAGCAGCTCATTCCTCTGCTCACTCTGCTCTCTCCTCCTGTCAGCACATGTGCATTGGGGGTGTATTGAGGCTGATTGGTTGCTAATGCTGCCCCTCCCCCTCCTATTCTAAGTGCTGCTGCCTAGGAAATTACAAGACCATGCCCAATTCTGATATTTACACCAGCTGTATTTGACAAATCATTTATTTCTATTTAATGGATTTAAAATTGCATTATTTGTGTGTTTTATGGAAAGTGGAATGATGAGAGGAGATATGTTCCAACACTTGGCTGACTTCAGTAATGCAGGACGCAGTTTACTGGCTGGCTGTCTGTCTCTCTGTGTATCGCGTGGTGAGCAATGAACAAAGTGACACAAAGGAGCCTACAAATAGCATTTTGACATCCTTCTATAGGGGTCACTGGGCAGGAAGTCAGCTGTGTGATGCCAAATATATTCCCTTCACAAATGTGTTTATTTTGTGCCTGAAATTCCTACATATCTCTATGAGTAGAACTGCTGTACAACCCAAGCTGTAATAAATGTTGCCAGGCCCCTTAGACATCTGTTTTGCATTTCAAGTCAACTCACCCTGAAATGCCCCCCCAATCATTGTACCCCGCCAGCGATGTCAAGATAAGTGACTTCTCCGCCATCGCTCGGGATTTAATCTCATTCAGTAGAATTTATTGCTGCAAAATCAAGTTTTTGTGTGGCTACAAATTGAATCTGAATTTCTATCATGTCAGGGGAACCCCCGACAGCTCACTCGGCATCATCATGGGTAATATCAGTTGTCGGCGGTGTATCGGCTTAGCTGAACGTATAATATACCGAGAATTATTGCACATTCCATACACCAGCAGCGAAGGACAAGACTGCTGGGGCTTTAAAAGGGGTTTTATGAGAGACTGAGACCTGATCTCGGGGGCCATTGAAGAGAGGTTTAAAGAAAACCATACGCCTCCCTGTCAGCGCCCCACAGTACAGGCGCAGAGCGAGGTCAGTTCATGTCCTCGTTAGAAATATTTGTGGTCATGACTGCTCAAGGCCAACCCACAGACAATCTATGCAATCCCTTCCTATTAAATTCCCCTCAGAATATGTGGAAACGGGTCAAATTTTCAGGTGTTGACACGGCTGCCAACGACGGTGGGGCAGAGGTCGATTTTTAAAAGCAATGTCACTTTGGTTATAAAATGAGAACTATTAATGACTTTGGATCAGTCAGCATGAAATAGAACCGGTCAACACTTCCACCTCCTGGCCTTGCGGCGTAGCTCACACAGAAATCCAAAACCTGACACCCTGACAAGGTTTGAGGGATATTGATGAAACTAAACAGGGCCATTCGTGTTCTTTGCGTAGATTTCCGATGTATGTTTATTTAACGAAGATCTAAACATTTTGTTTGATCATTTTGTTTTGCTTCATAAAGATTGTTGTAGACAATCAGCCTCCCGTCCGTACAACAAAAGGCGCAAATGGCTACAAGTTCATTTAAAGATTCTTCATGAATTTGCCACAGCCATAGCACCAGAATTTAAAATTTCCTGCAGCCTCTTTCAGCCACTTCCTGTCTACATGCACATCATTACTCAGGACCAGCTTCCTGAGCGTGACAACAGTAGACCGTGTCTGCAGTAGCACGACCACCAGTAGTGTCCACCAGAAATGCATGTGACAGAATGTCAATGCAGGAGCACAACTAAGAGATAGAGCATTGTCACCCCTTAACATGAACTGCCTGAACCAGGACCTTCATGGCAGGATCACCAGTTATTATTAGTTTTAAAGTTAAGCTCTGGGCTGTAAAAAAAACAGTGTAGAGCCCCCTCTGCACTGCAAGGGTTAAATGCTTGTTAAGTCTATG